TCGTAGTTTTGGGGGCGCGGCTTATTCCTTTACCGTAAGATTCATTCAGCGCGTAGACTGAGAGAGTGTCAAAATGAAAGTGATGCAATGACTTCATAAAAAGCAAATTGTAAGATAGCTGTAACGAGCACACGCTCGGAAAAAAAACTACGTAAGCGCCAAAAAAACTTTTTTATTACTTTCAACAAAACTTCCTTACGGATTGAAAAAATGGTTTATGAAATTTATGATTATTTACTATGCCTTAAACACAATTCCATGAACATATTCGTAAAAATATTGCGGTATCATGAAGAAATGTAACTAATTACCTAGAGCTTAGTTAGCAATTTCTTTCTATCGAGAAAATTACATGATATCGTGTTTTTCTTTGATACAATCCAAGATCATATAGTTAAAAATCATCTACCAAAATTTTGGTTTGCAATTTATAAAACTTAAAAAAATATGTGAAATAAAAAAACCACCAAATTTTTGAGGTATCACCTTAAGCGCAAAGCGCCCACGCACTTGTTCTACTAGCGCCTAAAAATCGATTATCCAAAATTGTGTCGCATGAAATCGTATCTAACAATCATATCGCACATATAAATTATGTAAAAAGCGCATTGTCAGAAAGATAAATGATTGTTGAACTTATTATTTTTTAAATCGATTAATTTCCATTTTTACATTAAAACATTACCATTTTAGTTTTATCAAGTCCGCATGGAGGTGTACGTACACACGATAACTTTAGAACATATCAATTGTCCAACTCAACCTATTTTTAAATTTCTTTATCTATCATTAGGGAAGCCATGGAATGTAAATCGCTGTTTAATTTTGTTTTATTTAGCCATAATTAATTTTTTTCGGCTGAGAAATTACGAAATTTTCGATGCTTGAGCAGCCTTGTAATAATAAATTTTACTAAATACAGATACACTTTGCCTCACTCCGGGTTTGACCGCCGTCGTGAGTGGATTACTGTATCATTTGTTTACAGCAACTCGTAATGAAAAATATCGATCGCTGTGGATATACAAAATATACCAAAAACCAATTTTGATACATACTTGACCAAGATAACATATTATTATTATTTTTATATTCACAGATTTTCATTACAATATCTTGTTTCGCTAAAAGTACGTAGGATTTATATATAAATATACTTATACGACTTGGACATTATGGAGTGACCTGAAGGTGTACTTCCTTATCTGTCGCTGGAACTCCTCGAAGAGTAGAACTAGGTGTGCCTAGTTTGGCTTCATTTTGTTAGTTATGATGAGATCTTACCTCAAGAATTGATAGAGTGACTTGAAGGTGTACTTTGGTGAAAGCTGAATTAAAATACTGGTTATGACTAGATAAAGAACTTTTTGAAAACGAAATAAAGTTGATTAGAAAAAAAAATTATTAACAAATCAGGTAAAAAGACTAGTTTTTACGATAATGTCTGAGTACAAATACCTAACAAATTAAAGTAATATTAAAGTTGATTTCTGATCGTTTTAATATAATTCTATAAAAGTTTTTCAATTAACAACAATAAAAAAATTGAATCTCAATAATAATAACATGTTAAAATTTAAAAAAAAAATTCTATTGTTGATTGAGAATTTTTTTTGTACATATTTTCACGATCATATTATGAGCATTATATAATAAGTCATGCACTTTAGATTTTCCAATTTTCTTTTTATTGACGTTTGACATAAAAATTTCGGAAAATTAAGGTTAAAACTTGCATGTAAAATACTTTGAAAAATTGACGTATAAAATGAGCGTTTAGGGCATGCACATTTGGATTTACCAAAAGTTTTTTTTTCTTTTACATGAGGAAACGCCTACTCATACCCGCCTCGCCGGGGCGAGGACAGGTTATGTCGGACTCACACCGATTAAAACCCCATGGTATTCCATCGCACACATCCGCAGCCCCATTAACGCTGGCCGCTCCATGGCGGTGCCTCCTCGGGAGTGGACAACTCTTTCCCCAACTCCTTCTGATGTAAGGTGCACACAAACACATGGCGCGCCCTCTTCTTTGGCCTATAACTTCACATGCGCAACATACGCTCCCTTTCTGATGTGCGAAGGCCATGGCCAGGAAAAACAAGTATTCAGAATCACTAGCGGTACTAACCACAGCGGCGGATCTGGTCTATGGATCCGCCGCCAATCAGAATTCGGCTGCGGATGATAGGGAGAGTGGCGTCTCGTAATACCGACACTCCTCTCCTTCCACAACCCCATCACCACCACATCACAAAACACATCCGTAGTAGGCTCGTCAAGCTAACTCGAAGTGACCTCCTCGGGCTGGCCCTACAATTCCTTGGTTTATCGCGTACATTAACTTATTTTATATTTCCGACGTTTCGCGCACTTTACAGTAAAAATGGTCACGGGGTGAACGAGGTGTTCGAAGAATATATATATATATATATATATATATATATATATATATCTTAGCACTGATTCCACATAACCGTGGTATGCAGTGATGACAGCAGGTTGATTGACAATTGTTCCAAGTCTATATAGTGCATTACACATATACAGTACAGTGCAACAGAATTGGTTGAGTTTAGTACCAATATCTTCCACTTGAGATATCCATTTTAAGTTTTAATCAAGATTGAGACCTAAAAATTTTGCATTTTAAACTATATTAATTTGGTGTCCTTTGTAGCATATATTAAGATTTCTTAAATTATTTTTTATATTTCTAAAAGTCATTAAATCTATTTTATTCAGATTAATTAATAAATTGTTATATAATAACCATTGAATTATTATGTCCAGTGTTTGATTTTTGTCGCATATCATTTGATTTTTGGTTGTGCTTGTAAAGATCACTGTGATATTGTCTGCAAATAGATCTATATGATTAGGTAAATCGTTTTATGAACAATGAATTATAATGAACAAAGGACACTTTCCCTGAGGGACTCCTTGAGTTGCGTTATTTCACGATATGACGATGAATGTACTATTTTTCATAACGTTTTTGAGCATATGGGAGTTATTTGTGTGCATTGTTGTCGATTTATTAAGTATGTTTTAGGAGATTGAGGACATTTCCTCGAACTCCGTATGCTTCTAATTTATTTAAAAGGATACCGTGATTATACTGGTCAAAAGCATTATTTAAATCCATATATAGATCAGATACTAAGCGCTTATTATTAAGGCTTGACATACGGTACGTAGAAAATGAGAGACAGCTAAATTTATACTTTTATTCTTTGGAAATCCAACTTGTTTCTCCTTCCTTGAAGTTTTTCAATGAAATAAGGTTTTTACTTATTACCTTTTCAAGGTAATAAATAAGTCAAAGGTATGAGTGCTATAAGTCAGTCAACATCACTCTTATCATTTTTCTTAAATATAGGTTTAACCACCGTTTTTTTTTTATTTATTTGGGAATATTGCAGATGCTATACCTAAATTTACGATGTAGGATAAAACGGGTGAGATATTGGTAGATACACTTTTTAAAACCTTTGCGCTAACGTGGTCGTAACTTATGTATGGTATTTGTATTCTTTAATGAATTAATTATATAATATTAATTACGAAATGAGTTGTTGGGTTCATAAATAATGAGTTATTAATATTCGGTACTTTACAGTTAACGTTATTTTTTCTTAGATTACTGTCATTTGTTTTTGTTGAATTCCTGGTAATAATTATTTCAAAATATATGAGCAAGAAAAGCGTTAATTCCATTTTAAAGTTTCACCACGAAATATTTAAAGATTTTTTTTTATTTACAGCTTAATTTTGCTAATAAAACGTTTAAATACTTCGGATAAATATTCAAAATAATACTATTTAGCAATATTAGAACAATTCTCGTCATTATATTATTTTGAATTATATTACTGAACTTTGTAATGAATATTTTATAACGCTTTAAGGCTTCTCTTTTTTTTAAAGTAGTTAAACCGTGTGTATAACATTTTAAATAAACCAATGCTCTTAACATGAGTCGGGCACCCCGGCATTGATGGTTTCAGTAATTGTCGTGTTAAAGTGACATTGACATTTAGTTCACCGACTTCTGAGTAAGATATAAACCCTATTCGACTAAAACATTTGTAGCTTTTAATAAAACATAATATCTTGTAGTGTAAACAGATCTATCAAATATAATTGATAGAGGTAGCCACCCAAATTTACTTTATTTCAACCACAGTAATATTTATTCACTAAAACTAATTATTCGCTTCTAAAATCTATGTCCTATAAAAATTAAAAACAAAATGTTATTTCCAGACTAAATAATTTCAAACCGTCAATTCTCAGTCCCCTGTTTTTTATAGGATAGGGTAACAAACGAACACACAGTCCACCTGATGGTAAGTGGTTGCTGCAGCACATTGACATCTACATCTATCCTCAATTACAAATCAAAATGCAGATGCGTTGTCACCTTTGAGGACTAAGACGGAATGCCCCGTTTCCAGTAAAAAAGGATCTGCGGTTCTGTACACTCACCATACGAAACACAGCAGCATTAAGCTACTATTTTACGCTGGTATTCTGTGAGAGCGTGGTCCTTCCCCGGTAGAGCCAACCCCTTCGCGCTACAACTATACTACTAATACAACTGCAGCATGAACAGATAATGGCTTAACTAATGATATATGTGGTGCAACTATAATATTTCATTTTGTAGTTATCTTGTATGCATCAGCCAGCAGGGTTTTCTAATCTTTAATAACAGTCTAACTTCGTAAACTTAATATTAACAATAACAATTTTTTGATACGTTGATAATTAACAAATTAATGTAAAACAGCTCAACTTTTTTGCTTCACAAAACAAAAACGACATCGTATCACCGAATACAACTTCCCGTTTCTTTATTCTTTAAGACCTTATGTATAAGGTCGATCAAATATTATAAAACAGATCTGAGGCCTACAAAACAAAACAATCCGTAGTTAGCTTTAACTGAAATCAGTAACAATACTAGGATCCAGAGCTGACGTATCAAAATAATGAAGAAAATTATACTTCTTATTCTATTCCTTCAAAAAATAAATCGCGCAACTCTATTGCGTCAAAAAACACTTTTGACATATTCGCTGCCAGAAAATAGACATCTTAAAAGGCTATTGGGTTATACTGAAGACACTTACCTCAACTTTACTGAATTGGCCACTAAATACAGATATCCGTCGGAAGAGCACACGGTGATTACAGAAGATGGATACGTATTGAAGGTATTTAGAATTTTATCGAAGTGCAGGACAGTATCTGAACGTTTACCCATTATATTAATGCATGGGCTATTTGACAGTTCTGACTTATGGATATTGAGCGGTCCGCGAACTGGATTGGCGTACATCCTCGCAAACAATTGTTATGATGTATGGGTCCCAAACCACAGAGGTAACCGGTATTCACGGAAACATTTGACATTAGATCCCAATAAAGATATCGAGTACTGGAATTTCTCGTTTGACGAACATGGATATTTCGATATTCCCGCCATTATAAATTATGTGATTGAAGTAACTAATAAGTCTAAATTATTTTACGTTGGACACTCCCAAGGTACGACTGACTATTACGTCGCAATGTCCTTGCGGCCCGAATACAACGACAGAATTCAACTGTCCTTTCATCTGGCTCCAGTCGCCTGGTTGAAAAATATAAAAAGTCCCATTCATAAATCTATTGCTGAAATCACAACCGAGATAAAAGCTGTTTTAGATTTATTGGGTGTTGGTGAAGTATTCGCAAGGCGTCAACTGTCGCATATTATTTTAGAATTTTTTTGTCAATATGCCCCACAACTAGTTTGCGGAACAGGTTTAACCATCACCACAGGCTTTTTAAAGGGTACTGTGTCTTCAAGAACTCTAGCCGTGGCATTTGGTCATGTATTAGCTGGTACATCGGTAAAATCACTTGCGCATTTTGGACAACTAATACTTTCGATGAAATTTCACCGTTATGACGAAGGTAAAATAGGAAACTTAAAAAAATATGGATTGAAGAAGCCACCGGAATATAATATTTCCAAAATTGTATCTCCTGTTTTCTTAATATGTGGTCAAAATGACTGGCTATCATCATTGAAAGATGTGAATGAACTAAGTTCTAGGCTGCCAAATTTAATAGAAACATATATTGTACCAGAACCTTACTGGGGTCATAACAATTATGTTTGGGGTTTAGAAGCACCTGAACTAATTTTTAAGAAAATACTTGATTATCTAAAGCGATATGGTAAATAAATATTTGTCAAATTTCGAATCCAACTAGTAATGAAAACACTTTGAACCAAATATAATTTATTTTCTTAACATTTCATGTAAATAATTTTACAAAATATAACTTACTTTTTAACTGCCTATTGTCAAGTTATGTATATAATTTTTACAACTAAGCACACATTTGTCTAAAATCGACAGTAAATTTTAGTTTAATTGTTAAATAGGTAGTTTGGTCGATGGGATAGAAACACATGAATGCTTAAAAGAAAGGAGGAAGTATATATTTCAAGTTAATTATTACGTAAAGAACCCGTTATGGTGCTATAGACATTGGTGCAAGTGCGAGCTCGATTTGTTTCATGTACGCAAGGTTATAATGTTGTTGATCTTTTACTTTTAAGACAAATAATAAAAACAACAAACGAATTATCTATTTTTTTTTAATTGGAACTTAAAACAGAAATTCATTGGGGCTACTTCATATAATGCATTCATATAAAATAGAGTCTTGACGTTAAATTCAACAAACAATGCCCGTTTTCTTCAAATGCTTTTGTTTTAATTTGCTTACATGCAAAATCTACACATCTTCAATATCCAGTTCACCCATTGTATGCATTTTATTGGCAAACACCTTTTTAGTATTCAGAATATGTCGTGCTGTTGCAACTATTTCTCGAAGTTATTTCAAAAATACTCCATGAAGACGGCTATATAACATAAAATGGGTGTTGCAAAAAGACACTAGAATTTGTTTTCTTCGCTCAAAATTATTCCAGCCATAAAATTATTGTTTCACGTGTAGCAAAAACATTTAAATACGAGTTTGAATAGGAAAAAAAATTTGTGAGATCTCGCATAAAAGGACGTTTATTGTATCTACTACTAATTGTTAATATAGATTTTGTCACTTGATGTACATAACAAAGCACCTGCCTTTTAATTATTAAACGAAGATAGATGTAGATGTCTATGGCCACAGCTTCCACTTTTCATCATATGGACTGTGTACATGTTCGTAGTCGTTAATGTATAAAACTATTTTTATATTTTAAATCTTGTGCTCCTATAGACCCAGCAGCAGTTTCCGATTTTTTATAAGCTGTCGCTGGGCACACATTTCAAAAGAAGACATTTTCATTACTTTTAAATCAAATAACTAAGAAAGAGGTTCGTGTTATTTTTATTAACTCATAATAGCCTACTGCTGGACATAAAGCCGTTAAGTTGTATCTTAATATGCCTTAATCATCACAACTTATTCGAAAAATATATCTTAGTCCCGTTTTAGCTCCGCCTGCCCAAGGCGGTTTGACGATCGTGGACGCTGCCCGATTAGTATCTATACACTATAGTTAATAGAATAGTGTTTAGTCTGGCTATTTTACATCTAATGTGAACGAAATATTTATGCCGCCATCTGTCAGAAACCAAAAGCCGAAATTTTTATACAAAACGTTTAATAATAAATGCCTCCAGTGCTAATAACTCTACTAGATAACAGAGCGAGGAAAAATCGTGGCTAAATTGTTGGTCTGGTGTCGTTGGTAGGTGACAATGTTATTCATAAATACCTACATAAAATGCTACTTGCAATATTTTTGATTTATTTTATTGAATAACGGTAACAAACGAGCACTCAGTCTACCTGATGGTAAGTGGATGCTGTGGCCCAAAAAAATCTACATCTTAAATACAGATGTGTTGTAAGCGATTTATTGAAAACGGGCCAAATTGTACTCCTAATTTGGCCCGTTTTCAATAAATCGCTTACAACACATCTGTATTTAAGATGTAGATCTTTTTGGGCCACAGCATCCACTTACCATCAGGTAGACTGAGTGCTTAACCGACGAGCATGTATGCATAGGTATATGGATGTGAAGGAGGCGAGAGGTGTGTCAGGATCGTGCCAAATGGAAGTCTGTAGTCTCTGCCTACCCCTCTGTGTGACACGCGTGAGTGTTTGTATTTATGTACTGTAACCCTCCGGCGACGAGAGAAGAGAAGAGGTGTTCTGTGAGAGTGCTTCATCCCCGGTCAAACCGACCCATTTGTACTGTAGTCATAATATAGCCGCATTATGACTCTACCACGTATAATATTTAAAAGTTTTCTTTCTAATATAAGGGCAAACGATCATGCGGCTCACCTGATGGTAAGCGACTACCGTCGCCTATGAACAATGATTGGTCCATTCATAGTTTTAATTTGAATACAATTTTTATTGAATAAAAATACACATGAGATAAGAAACTATGAGGTCACTTACTGGTATTCCTATACAATTCCTATGGGCAAAATTTCGTGTAGGTGCTCATAGTCTTTCCCAATAATATCGACTTCTAATAATTCTAAAATATCTTTCCCGAGAGTGTGAAATTACTTGTTGTGTAAATATTGTCTATACTAGCTATCCGCCCCGGCTTCGCACGGGTGATTTCTGCGTCTCGATAACAGCGCCACCTACCGAGTCCAAATCTGAATCTAATTTATACGGCGTTATTTTTCAGAGTAGCCCAATTTCAAACTTAAGTTCAAATATATAAATAATGATATACCGTTAATGCAGTTTTTGAAAATACGAGTAATAAGGATTCAACCTTTATTTTAAATTATCCCAAATTGAACGTGGCGTTTTTCCCTACTGATCAACCCTTACAAATTAATTTAAAGGATAAAAACAAAAACATAACACAACAAGGATGTTTTACATTTATTAATTAATTTTTCTTCACCATTTGCTTATATTTCTTATTCTGAACCTTCTCTGTAAATTTGCCCGGTTATTGAAAAATACCCTGTATATGTAATGATGAGTGACAACCTAACTGCCTCAGTAGTTAAATAGCTGTAAGCATGAATGCTGGTGATGTTCATCATTTTCAATCATGAAATCCTCAGTTACAGCCCCCTCATTACTGTGTCTTAGAAAGCATGCTACGATTTAATGTACCTACTATATGTTACCGATACCGTTATAGCCCATTAAAAGTTCAATGCTGAACTTAGGCCTCCTCCACAGATTGCCTCATACGGGGGATAGTTGCTATAGTTGCCATAGTTGCCACGCTTGCCAGGCGGGTTGGTCAACCGCAGTTTTTTTTATTTTTAGTTGTTATTAAGAAGACAATGCTACCCATCTCCTGATTTGTTATGCTTTTTCGCCTCTGACAAAACCCATAGGAAGATATGAGGAAGTGGATATACGTATACTACCACTACTAGGTCTACTCTGTATGTAATAATTTCATTACTGAGCTATGTTTAAAATTTCGAAATTTCGGTTTATCGGTAGACTAAAAGGTATGACTTAAAGTCGATTACAATATTTTTACCAAACAAACAAACAAACAGGCTGACAAAAAGTTGATGTTTGACAATCTGATCTGAGCAGTTTTAAAACTACAAATCTTCAGCTCATCGGGAAGTCAGTGTAAAATTGATTTCAAATACCGTACAGACAAATAGATAAGGAAATGATTCAATAAAATATAATGAAAAGTAACTTTAAAAATCTGGAGGTTTAGCTTTAGTCTGTTGGAATATGGTTATGGGGTAAAAGAAAGTCTGTGTGTACTGTACGAAATTCTGTATTAGAATGCCAACACAAAGTCTATCGCTTAAACAAAGAAATAATTAATAGACTTGTTTTGACTACATCCGTTATTAAAGAGACCTTATGTTGACTAGTATTTTTGTTTATGCCAACATAGTCTGTCGCAGAAAAATTTTATAGTCCTTTCAAAGATTATCATATTTAAAATGTTACGTTATGATTATGCAAGGTTTACTCTCTCAACAATAATGCAATCATATTTGTAAAATCTCAACAACTCATCATTAAACTCAAATCAAACTTCGCAATTCATTAAATGCCATCAGAACGTTCTTGATTAACTAACGGCATCTGGCAACACACGCTGAATTAAATTACAGTCGCACGTTTGTGAAATTCGGAGCGAGTTTTTTAATATTTATGTGCCATTCAAGATCCAATACACCACCAAATTCAGGTATTGAAATATAAGGCGATGAGCTTATTTCGTTGCGATTCCGTTACGAATATATTTAAATTAATAATTTGTTTTAGTGGTGGCATAAAGACGGTGATGCATTTTTGCACCTCAGTATTCCATTTCGTAAGTGATACAATACGTGATAATTCAGATCACAGATCACAGATCACGTTTCATAAGTTCATAATTTGCAACGTCAAATACATGTTGCAAATTATTAGCGAAGCGTACGTATATTATTTATATACAACGTACGTGTAACGTATATACCATTTCCTACCGTCACTGCCTATTAAAGTTCAATGCTAAACACAGGCATCCCCCATAGATTATCTCATAGGATATTTGTCATAGTTGCCACGCTTGGCAACCAGGTTGGCAATCGCATATTTTTAAATATAGTCGTTATAAAGAAGACGCCGCTGCCCATCTTCTGATTTGTTTCTCTTTGTCGCCTCTTAGGGGGGGGGTGTTTATATATATATATATATATATATATATATATATATATATATATATATATATATATATGTAATGTGTAATTAATAGTGTTATATACTTAAATCTGTAAAAATTATGAAGTTAAGAAAATAAATGAAAAATATTATCAACTTGAGTGCTAATAAGTAGTTATATTTTTGAATAAAATACAGATAAATATTTTTTGTCTTTATTTGTTAGAATATGGTACATTACTGTTGTTACAAAAGAATTTCGATCCTAAATATTCTGCCGTTTCTGGCGTACAAATATTTTAATAGCCTCATTAGCCGTATTATTTTCATCATTATCATTATAACTTACGGCACCGGTTTACCTTTATATATTTAACTTGCTTAGATTCTTTTAAATAAATTACATTTTTATTAAATGATATTTTAATTATGAATTCAATCATTAATTATAACTTTCAATATTTTAGTTTCAATTTCATCTTCATGTTCTTTATCAGCCAGTAATATCACCTACTGAACGTAGGTCTCTCCAGGTAGGGATTTGTGC